AAAACTTAAAAAAATTATATGAGAGCAGAAATAATAATAATAATAATAATAATAATAATAATAATAATAATAATAATAATAATAATAATAATAATAATTTTTTTTTTGGTTTCTGCAAACATACAAAATATATCCGCACACACTTTCACAAACACAAAAAAATAAAAAATGAAAAATCTACTGATCCAAATCAGGAAAAAATATATAATATAAATCAAAACAAAATTATGAAAAAGAAAATTATTGTGTAAAAACAAAAAACAAAAAAAAAATGAAAAATCCACTACGAATGATATTATTTATCAAATTAAATAGGATTTTCTTTAACTGAATATTGTAACGTTTTTATTATTAGTGTTTAAACAATCGGAGTAGATAGATTAAAGAAGACTGTCGTGATAAAATTGAAAATTTATCATGCTTAATCATAATTAATACAATATGATCTCAATTAATGGTTTGAAAATGACTAAACAGTTTTTGCTTCTGTTTAATTTATATATTTCTATGATCGTATTCCTATATATATCTCAATGGTAAATGCATATAACACGATCACAAGTACTTGTAAAAATTTCAAGTTTTAGAAATGGCATTCCTTATTGGAGAACAATCGGCTGAGCTTCTACAAGCTCAAGCTAAATTTTGGAACCACGAATATAACTTCATTTATATCGCATCTCTCAAATGTGTAACTCAACTAGGCATACCGGATATCATCTACAAACATGGTAAACCAATTACACTCCAACAGCTAGCTGATGTACTCCCCATCAACAAAGCAAAAGTTCATGGTGTGTACCGCCTCATTAGGGTTCTAGTCCATTCAGGGTTCTTCACCAAGGAAAAAGTTTCCGATGATGTTGCCAATATGGGGTATTGGCTTACACCGGCTTCTCGTCTCCTCATCAAAGACCAGTCCTTGAGTATGATACCAGTTTTGGAGGCCAGTTTCTATCCTACTTACTTGAAGCCATGGCATCATATGAGTGAATGGTTTCAAAATGACGACCTCTCTGCATTTGAGACAGCCCATGGAAGCACCTTATGGGACTATGCTAGTCACGACCCAAAGCTCAATGAGTTTTTCAATGAGCACATGGTTAACGACACAGAGTTGTTGAGTAGGATAGTTATTAGAGATTGCCAAAACGTCTTCGATAATATGAAGTCTATGGTGGATGTTGGAGGAAACACGGGATTTATGGCCAAAGCTATTGCAGACGCTTTCCCACACTTGCACTGTGCTGTGTTTGATCTTCCACACGTTGTTGCAGGCTTGAAAGGTAGTAAAAACTTGACTTACATCGAGGGAAACATGTTTGAATCAATTCCTCAAGCAGATGCAGTTATGCTCAAGGTATGGTTCTTTTTTTCCCCCTTACATTACCTAAAAAAATCTAATTCTTACACTATTGATATTTTTTAATTATAATAAATATTCCTGGTAGAAATTTAAGTTTAAGTTTTTGTAGATATATTTATTCACATCGGCCAAAAAAAAAACAGAAAAAAAAAAAAAACATAGGATCGACCCCTACCTCATGGTGTAGTAGTTTTCTTACATAACAACTATACATTTGACTGTTTCTCATTTCGTGCATGCTAACACAAATTTTTCATACTAACAAAAAACAGTGGATATTGCATGACTGGAGTGACGAAGAGAGTCTGAAAATATTGAAGAAATGCAAAGAAGCAATCCCAAGCAAGGAGAATGGAGGAAAAGTGATCATTGTTGATATGATTGTACGAAACAACAAGGAAGACCATCAACAGACTGAAACTCAGCTCTTCTATGATCTATTGATGATGGTCTTGATCAATGGAAAAGAAAGAACTGAGAAAGAGTGGGAAGAACTTTTCTTTGATGCTGGCTATAGTGGCTACAAGATTGCGTATGAATTAGGATTGTGGTCTCTCATTGAGGTTTATCCTTGATTATCCAGTCTATTATAATCAAGCAAAAACTTTTTTTTATCTTAAAATATACCTTTGAGTTATGTAATTCACTTAATTTGGATGCTTGGTGCGAAAATAAGCTGTCTTGGCAAGATTTTCATTTTTATTTATCTTGTACTTCTGTTTGATGACATGAACTATTACTTCACTGCTTAATATGAATCAGTTCCAACAATCTCTAATTTACAG